GGCTTGTTTGTTGAGTATCACGTGTGGCTGTGGTGGTAGGGACTGGTGCAGATGGCATTGACACTGGCTATTGAACCACTGTCAGTTCCCAGCTCAGTAACACTGAAGCCAAATACTCCTTTGAAAACAGCTGATCTGCCAACAGTGGCATGTGTCCTGCAGTTTAGGATCTCCTACCTCTGTGTTTTGATTCAGCTTTTGGGTTTCCTTTTTATGCTGATGCCCATCCTGAGAAACATGAAAAGGAATTTGACTGTAGGGGAGGATAGTGTTTTTCTTGTATGTGCGTGTCTTTGCCTCTAGAAAGTAGAAAAATAAAGTTTTTAAAAGATCAACTCTTTCAGGTATCTCAGGCTGGGTATGCAAAAGCTGCCCTTCAGGACCTTCTAATCTTCAGATGCTGTAAAGTTATTTTGTTGGCGTTTTGCCATGCAGCAGTGACGTATGTAGAAGCACTGCTGTAGGCACCTGCCAAAGCAGTCATTAGTGACGTTGGGAGCAAAATTGCTGAGCGTTTATGACACCAAGGTTCAACTTCAAGGTTATCTTCTTCCGGGAGGTAGAAGTCTTTCGGAGATTGTAGCAAGGCTTCCAGGAGCTCTTCGCTAGTACCTTAACCGAGGCAGAATTAGAGCATTGTTCCGAGAGTTTTTAAAATATATTCTTACTACAGCTGCCTCTTTAAAAATAGTTGCTATCATACAAGCCAAAGCCTGAGGTAACTCAGACAAGCATACTGCTATGATGTAAGGGAATTGCTTGGAGTCGAAGTGGTAGAAGTAGAAATCAGGAGTGCATACAAAATGTGAGTTATTTTGACTGCAGAATCAAACACACAAATTAAGTGCCAGGTTTCCAGTTATACGGTTGCCTGCTTCACTCCATCTGAGCCGTTTGGGATGGGGAGAGGGATCCTGTAGTTGCGTGGCAGCATTGCACATACATATTAGAGATCCGCTGTTGTTTGTAATGGAAGACAGTAGGGGTTTTGTTGTTTTGATCCTTTAAACAATATAGAGAAACTGTAAAGATATTGGGCAAGCGTGGAACAGTTCTTCATAGTTTTACAGTGAGTTAAAAGCTTTATTTCTTCTTTAAAAGAAGAGGTAACAAGCAGTGCCACATGTTGCGGTCTGTCTACAAGGGGGAAGAAGCCATGCAGTATTATCAGTGTTTATGTGAGTGACTTCATGCAGTATTCTCATAGCTCGATTACGGATCAATTTTCAGTAATCCTGATTTCAGTGTAGAACATCCTGTGACTAAGATGGTTTCCTAGCTTGAAGGTCGGCAATGTAATGGCCTATTTAGGGCAAAGTGTTATATTGCATAATTTTATGAGACACTATGGTGTCAATACATACCATTGCAATTTAAGTCGCAAGTTGCGCAGCAGAAAGAGAACAGTCAAGAAATTGAATTTTAGCTTTTTACAAACTGTGATTAGAAACGAAGCAGATATTTCAATACTTCATAGTAGCTGAACGGTAAGAGCAGTCACCAGGAAGGGGAGAACTCTAGTGTTTACCTAAAGCAGAAGGGTGCCAGTTTCTCTTGTTTAGATAGGTCCCAAGGAAGAGTCCCTGAAGTCTGATGGTACCAGGAACAGAGACAATTAAGACAAACCGAAAACATGTAGTTGCTAAAAATGTTGTTCCTCCCCTGCCCAGTGGAGATGTTCCTGTCAAAACAGGATTTCAATCACAATAACTTGGGGTGACATTACTGTTTATTACTTTCAAGCCATGGGCAGAATGCTTTCAGAAACTTAACACATAGCTATACATTAAGGTAATAGTGTTATCTAAAAGGATTCTTGACTGGTATTCCACTTGCCTTATGTTCTTTACATGCTGTTTACCCAATCACCATGTATGTCTGGTTTGAGTTCTTTTTAAGGGTCTTCTTAAACAAACTTCTATCATACGAGAGTGAAGGCTGAGACAGCAAGCAGTAAGCATTCAGAAGATAAGAAATATACCCAAACTGAAAGTTGCAAATTAAAGATTACATATTTTTAACAGCCTCTGTTTTAGAGTGCTGTAGTATCTCAGCTGCTTTGTTTTCCTGTTATTACTTGGCCTTCAAGTCAGCAATTTACCCATCAAAACAAACTGTCTAGTTCACGAACAAGCTGTCTAGCTCACAAAAGAGCTAGAGCCAATTCCCACTAGAGCTGGTGGAAAAGTTTTCATTGAGTTAAGTGGGTTTGGTATCTGGCAGCCTTTGATATGAATAAAAGAGAATCAAAATTCGTGATGGGACATGGTAAGAGAAAGAAAAAGAAAAAAAAGAGTACTTTTTTTTCTCTCTGAAAAGAAAAACGGACACAACTATCAAGTTTCACTCCCCCCCACCCCCATTGCATAATGGCATAGACTTTTGATAACTTCCAGCCTGTCTACAGAGAGCCTGAGGTCAGTGTATAATGACTGCCCTTTGAAGGGGAGCATACCTGCCAACCAGGTTGCAAAGACAGGGTTTTTTTTTAATAGGTTTAATTAAGGTTTGGTACAGTAATTTTTCAAATAAATTTTGTAGTTTAGAGCAATATGCATTTCACTGCTATATGCTTCCATTTATGTGGACAAGCTTAAAACCACTGGCTCTATAGCAGTAGAATCAGGGCAAGTAGAAAATCACATTTTGTCAACCTAACGGCTGTTTATGTGAAACCTGGTGTTTTTCTTGTATTGCTACATGAAACTCTTGCAAAATAAATTTCTTTCAGTTTTCTTTTTTGGGTTGCTACAAGTGAAGTTTGTAATTTTTTCAGAATTTATTTTATTAGATTTGTGTAATATATCTAATGAGTAAAACATCTGTGGACCTGGGATTTCCCATTGCTAAACACAACTGACCTGTTGCTGTAATAGGACTTTTAATAAACTGTCTATAAATTAGTTTGAATTCACTTGCAATTAAGATAAATAACAAACAATTCAAACTGAAGCAGCAAGTCGACACTATAAGGAAGTGTAAGTTCTCCAGCTGAACCTGTGAAACTAAGAATGTAATTTTTTTTTTTTTAAACATATAAAATCTTCATCCCCATATGTACCTGTGTGTGCATGTATCGTGATAACCTGCTTCTGTTTACAAGTGTTTTGCTGCGTCAAGAGTGTCAATCAAATGGATTTGTAATTTCTTCATCTGGCCACTCCAGTTTTGTGACAGTTGTGTTACTTTTCTTTGTCCCAGCCAGCAGAAAGCAGAGGCAGAAAGGCTGCTCAGGTCATAGGCTGGGTGGCATGGGCCAGAACTGACATAAGACTGGCTTGAAGGCATGCTTTGCTTTGTGCAAGAGGGGTTGCATAGTTTTGTAACCTAAAATCACTTCCCCAAACGTGGTCTGCCATACTAACGAGGTGAGGAACTCTTGTCAGATGTGCGCTTTCATGGACAGCATCTAACCTGTGAGCTCCGCCACCTCAGCTGAAGAAGTCATCGCCCTCAGCTGTCTCCTCTTGCTGGAGCTGATCAGGAGGCAGCTGAATGTGTGGCTTGTGTTTCCTCTGGAGTTGTTGTTTGCACCCTTACGTAGACAGCTGTCTCTGTAAATACCCATGAGTGCGCTAAGAGACCAAGTTTTGAACTGTGGGAGCAAAGCAAGTTGACTCATGTTTTCTGTTGGATTTATAGCTGTAGCAGCCAAATCCCCTATGGACAAAGCCCCATGGTGGCTTCTTTCTGAATGTTCCTCCAGGGACTTGTTCCATCAAAGTGTATTTTGGGAGGCTCTGAAAATTCTGAGGACAATTGTGAGGCAGTAATACAAATAGGTGGTGAAACATGTCAGGTGTTTTTACTGCTCTGCTGCTGCCGCATTTTTCACTGCTGTGGTTCAGATGCTGTCAGGATCTAATTTTACAAAAGAATGGTTTGCTTCAGATATTGTTTATTATGTGTGAAAAGTGTAATGTACCTCATATAACTGTCTCACCTGCTCCAGAAAGGCCAGAGACAATGCTCACTGCTTTACCTTTCAGTAGTGTATTCACAAGGCCTCTGTTCCATGTCTGGTGATTAATTCAAATAAAATGCTTGTGTCCTGATGTAGCATCTTGTTCTTCTGGTTTCCTTCAGCCATGTGCTTAAAGGAGAGAGGTGGATGTAAGTTTTGTCCTTTCTTTTGTATGGTTTCAGTTCCCCAACTTGCAGTGCTGGTTTGTGAAATACTTTCCAAGGCATTAAACTTTAAAAATGTATCTTAACTAATATTACAACTTCTTACTAAGTGGTGAGGTGCTGAAATGCATCTAATTAGTTCTGCTATTGAAAGGAATGCCGTGATTTAGGGCAGTATGTCTTAATTATATTCTAACGAAGTCTTGTAAAGAGGCAGAGCTAGTGGCGACAAAAGTCTGCAATTAAGACAGGGTATGTTGCCTGAAATACAAGGTAATTGTCCAGGCAAGATCATTGGAATAGATTCAGAGCCTGTAGTTGCAAATACCCTCTCTAGGTGTTTGGCATATATGGCAGAGGGGGGAACTTCTCAGGAGTGTATTTATTATATGGTACAGACCACTGTGCAGTTAGCCTCAAAGTTGAATGTTTTATTCTGCAAACTTTCATGGCCTTATCTGGTTTATGTGTGGTTTTTTTTTTTATCTTCCTCTTCTTACAGGCTCTTAGTCCAGTGTAAAGCCGATGGGTGGGAGCAAAGGTAAAGAATGATGTAATGCAGCGGCAACCAGAAAGTATCTTTTGTTTGAATTGTGAAATGGCTACTCCATAGTCATCTCCCGATGAATCAGATGTGAGGGGCTGCTTTGTGGAATGAACCCTTTGTAACAGCACATCAACTGGAAGCAGGAGGAGACATTCAGTTGAAGAGTTCTTTCTGAAAATGGGTTTAACTTTTCTTTTGCCAGTCACTACCAGCATGACCTCATACACTTCTAGTACAATGGTGTGGCTAAGCCTTTGAGTACACAGCCATTACATCATCGCAGCAAATTAGAGAGGGAGGTGGTGAAAGAGGCCTTATTGTTGTCATGGCCGATGAGATGATCAGGACTCAACTCATTGTTGCCGAGAAGCTGGTGGCTTTGCTGGAGAGTGGTACAGAAAAATTGCTGCTGATTGATAGCCGCCCCTTTGTGGAATACAATACATCCCACATCTTGGATGCCATCAACATCAACTGCTCCAAGCTTATGAAGCGGAGGCTGCAGCAGGACAAAGTTTTGATTACAGAGCTCATTCAGCATTCAGCAAAACACAAGGTAGGGGTCATTTTCCTGTCATTCCTTGCGTTTGTTTAAAAGAGTGCCTGGAAAGCAACTTGTAATAATTTTCCCTTAGGTGTTTTGTTTTAAGTTTTTCCGAGCTCTTACCTGATTTAAGACACTATTGGTTACTGCTGAGAATCTTTGGGATTCTTTGTAGCCTGCTCTCCCCTAAGTGACAGAGTAATGGGAGGGATTCAGAAATTACTCAGAAAGAATGCTCTCAGGGTTCTTGTATGTCTTGCAAAGCACAGTCCCTTAAACGTATGTAATTAAGGCAGGAAACATTCTCCTTCTAAACTTCGAAGGATTCTTTGGGGTCTGTGGTGGCAGTGATGCTTAGCAAGTGGTCGTACAGTTTGCAAAGAAACTGTAGCTCTGTCAATCCTGGCTCCTACTTGCTGTTTAAAATACTTTCTGCATGAGTAGTTTCATGGGGTTTTGGTTGGTGGTTTTTTAAATAGTGTTACTAGCGAACAGAGAAAATAGCTAAGCTGTTTAAATTTAATGTGTATCTATGTGTGTTTTGTTTTTTAATCCATTGGTGCTTGTTTCAAATGTTTTAGTTACAAAAGTAATTTATTACATTCTTGCTTTGACATGTTAAAAATTGAAAACTTTTATTATTATTATTTCTACTATCTAAGGCATATTTTATAAAGTTGTGTAGGTGGCTAAAATGTGTGTGGTTTTAGGCAGTTTAAGGTCTCTACTGCTTATACACAAAAAACCCAGAAGCAGAGACTGAGGTAGGGCCTTCTTGTAAAAAGTTTAATTTTTAAACAAACCAACCAACTTAGCTGAAGGTAAAACATTTTACAAGTGACATAAAATTACCTAATGGTAGAAATTTGCAAAGTGTGCTTCAGTTTGGAGCAAATAATCAATTTACAAACTCTGACAGGAATCAGATCAGGCAATTAAGTATAAAATAAAAAGTGGTTTGCGTACAGCTATATAAGAAATCTCTGTGTCTGAACTGCTGCATAGCAAGTATGTGGGAACCCTGATGCAGGTGATAATGTTTCAATCATCTTCCTCCTTCCTATCTTCTTCTGAATTACTTGTGTTTCAGATTGAAATTGATTGCAAGCAAGAAGTGGTGGTGTATGACCAAAGCTCTAAAGATGTGACCTCTCTGTCATCTGAGTGCTTTCTTACTGTGCTCCTGGGCAAACTGGAGAAGAATTTCAGCTCTGTGTATCTGCTTTCAGGTATGATGAACCAAGAAAAAAACCAAAACACTTGAATGAGAAGAAAGAAAATGCTGTCATTATAGCTATTGTGTACACAATTTTGCAACAGTGCTGGTATGAACTTCAGTTGTAGCATAGCTGTTCCTGTAGTTCTTTATGCATATAGTGACACTCGTAATACAGAATCATAGAATCATCTAGGTTGGAAAGGACCTTTAAGATCATCGACTCCAGCCATCAACCTAACACTGCCAAAACTACCACTAAACCATGTCCCTCAGCACCACGTCTACCTCTCTTAAATACCTGCAGGGATGGTGATTCCACCACTTCCCTGTGCAGCATGTTCCAATGTTTGATAACCGTTTTGGTGAAGAAATTTTTCCTAATATCCAATCTAAACCTTCCCTGGTGCAACTTGAAGCCATTTCCTCTTGTCTTACGTATTGATACTTGGGAGAAGAGACTGACCCCCACCTGGCTACAACCTCCTTTCAGGTAGTTGTAGAGAGCGATAAGGTGTCCCCTCAGCCTCCTTTTCTCCAGGCTAAACAACCCCAGTTCCCTCAGCTGCTCCTCGTAAGACTTGTTCTCCAGACCCCTCACCACTTTCGTTACCCTTCTCTGGGCTCACTCCAGCACCTCAATGTCTTTCTTGTAGTGTGGGGCCCAAAACTGAACACAGTATTCAAGGTGCAACCTCACCAGTGCTGAGTACAGTGGGACAATCACTTCCCTTGTCCTGCTGGTCACACTGTTCCTGATACAAGCCAGGATGCTGTTGGCTGCCTTGGCCACCTAAGCCAGCAGTGTGCCCATATTTAGCTCACTGTTGGCCAACACCCCGAGGTCCTTTTCTGCCAGGCAGTTTTCCAGCCACTCTTCCCCAAGCCTGTAGTGCTGCATGGGGTTGTTGTGACACAAGTGCAGGACTCGGCATAGGTATAATGCTTAGAAATTGCATCTTACAGGAGATATATTACACCATTAGTGCTGTGTAAGTGGCAATTGATCAATACAGGGTTTTTTAAATGCATATGTCTGCTATTTTAGGGTCAAAGATAGTAAAAGAAATGTACTTCCCTGGTCTTCTAAATACTGTACGTGCTAGGAGGAAAATCACTTCCTTGGTAATTACTACAATAAGAACAAAAGAAATGATCTCCCAGAGTTATGGAGATTATTTTGTATGACTTCTTAAACTGCAAGTCCTGAAGTGGTAGTACTGTATTTAGGGCTTCTCCCTCATCTCCCCCCCTTCCCCCCCCTTTTAAAAAAAAAAAAATAATAATCCCAGGTCAAAGCATCCACAGAAATTCAAGTCCTTATAATACAGGATTTGTTGGTGTTAACATGTGCTTGTGTTGTTATTTCTGTCATGGAACAGTAGATCCCAGTGTTCACAAGAAGGAACAAGGAGGGGCATGAAGTAGATCCAGGGCTGAAAGAAGAGGGGATGATGAATACAAGTAGGAAATCTGTTGCAGTGACATGACCAGCGATCTAATGAAGTGTATACATAGTCTCTGAAATGTTAAAACTAAAGTCAGAGACTGAATAACGGTGAGGAAAAGGGAAAAGGTCTACCAGAGAGGTACTTCCTCTTAGCAAAAAGGTTTCACTGAGGTTTGTAGTGACTTCCAATGAAAGTGATATGGAGGTGGTTGTGTTACTGAGAGAACTTTTCCCAAACTATTTTGAAAGTGAGTACAGAGAAAATTAATAATTTCTGCACTTGGATAGGTGCATTTGGTGCTCGTGTGAGATATACTTACAGAAAACTAAGTAGGGTTATGCTTTAGCTATGTTTGGTGCTTCTGTTTTCTTTGCTGTCTCGGTAAGAATTACACCTGTGCATTGTGGACTACAATATTAGATTAAGTAATTCTTCTTCTGTATGAGCCACCAAGTAAATATGTGATGTCTAGGGCACAGTAAATGCTTAATGTAAGATTGCTGAAATATGTGGTTAATAGTCCCTTAAATTTAAAACTGTTATTTAAAAAATAGGCCAGTCTAGAAGCAGTTCATGCCTCTTAAGAAATCCTTTTATTGTTTGAATACCCAGTTCTGCTCATCAGTCCTGAGATTTTTTTAATAACCAGAAGAGTATTACAACTCCGTGCAGCAACACAGACTATTTGCAACTTAATTTCCATGGTGGAAAGAGACACAGCTATCTAATAACTCAGAATTAGACCTCATGGCAGGGAGCAGTTTGGGGTGGGGGATCCTTAATAAGGCCAAGCAAAGGACAGTATCACAAAACTTCCCTTCTACTGCGAACGCTAGTTGCGTCTGTCTTAATGATACTATGAGAAATTGCTTTGGTTTGTTTTTTGTTTCTAGCATGTGGTAGTTGTCTGTTCAAGCTGAAAATGCAACGTAAACCACATGCAAGACACTAGTGCACATTAGTTACCTGAGGTGAACTTAGCTACATGCAGTTGGTAAGTATTAGTTTCGGTGTTAGAGGCAGAGAAAGGGAATCTAATGTGTTAAAAACCACCTTATATAGAAAGGAAGATTTTTATTTTAGCACGTTAAATGCATTTCTCGTAGCAAAGATTGGATTTGAGAATTTCATCTTATTTTTGGTTAAAAAGGTAGTGATGGAGGTGTTTATGAATGCAGAAACTACTGATGGCTTTAAAACCTGTACTAGGGGAGTATAAGAACAAAAGGGAAATGTAAGGAAAGTGTTTACTACTGATCTATTACAGGTAAGCGGTTATTTCAGGAAATATACCCAACTAAGATGAATTGGTAGTAAGGTAATTAGCATCAGCTCTATTCCTCCAGCTCTATAGCATTTCCATCTCTTACAATGACTTTGCTCTGATTTTAATCCTTACATAAGAAAATACATTTCACAGTCCTGTTGTTTTCTTAGAGCTGTTAAAAAGCTAGCTGCTTAACAAACACACACACACATGAAACCTTCTGGGATGTGGGGTGAAGGAGAAGGTGCTAGATTCGGTCTTATGGAAAGTTCCTTGGAGATTATTGATACGTGGCTCTAGGAAACTAGATAAAATGTGTTGTCTCAGCAAGCTGATGACGAACTCTCATAAACGTTTATGGCCTATAATGAGAGTAGAGGTCAGTGCACCACGTAAAAAGAAAAACCTTTGGACTTGAGTTTTCCCTGTGCCACTCAATTTGGCTTATTTAAAATAGTGACCTTAAATAAACATTTTAGGGTAGGAAAATATTTTTTTGTTGGGATAGAATTAAGGCGTAATTAACAAATATCTGAAATTCCTGCATCTGTTCTTCATGCCTCCCCCCATTACTGAGCACTCACTGAGGTGTTTTTTTATTTAGGTTGTGCATACCCTGGAGGTTGGTTTTCATTGATGTAACTAATGTAAAGACCTCAAAGGAACCCTTACCAATTAATTAAAGCTCTTGATCTAACCTCATAAAAATATTTATGATCTGGTGGGGAATGTTCTCAGGAATTTAAATATTTCTTTTGGCTCTTAATTTTTAACAGTGCGCAAAATACTGAAATGTGGGTACTGAAGGCTTAACCCCACTCCCATCACTGCATCTGCTCTCCTGAGTTAAATAAGATTTAAACACAGGGATGTGACTTGATTCCTTCTCTTCCCATATTTTGAGAACTGCATCTACTTTTATGGAGTCCTTTTCCTAGGTACGGTATTTTTATGATGTTTCTGCTTGCTCTGCAGAAACAGTTAAGAGAGACTACCATTTCTTGCTTGATGAATTAGCATTATTAAGGTGGTAAACGCTAAGAGTCTTGCTTAAATTCTCTTCCACTATGTCAATGGAAATTATTTATGTTCTACTTTGCTAAAACACTTGCTCTTCTGTACTTCTCTTAATCTGGCTTACTCCTACTCTTGCAAGCACAGATATCTTCATGATGGTTACCTTTCAAATATTGCCGGTGATGAAAATGAAGCAGAGCTTTTTATTTTGTGGGGTTTTTTTAATTTTATTTTTTTGTACAGAAGACTCATGCTAAACAGAAGGATTTCTGAAAAAAGCAGAAAAGCCTACGTTCCTGTATTTCCAGCCTGACATTAAAAATTGTAATAGCCTAACACAGAAACACTGTACTGTCTCTGAAATGAAATCAAAAGCAAGAATTCTTGTACTCAGGTGGATGTGGAGCAACGGTAAATATTCAAGGACTAGCTAAACTTCAGAGTACTGTAATGCAGGATCATAGAAACAGTTTTACTGAACTCTATAAGAATTTTTTTAGCACTGCAATACCAGAGTGTATTTTGCTCGCAAACCGTGAAGGACGTATTTTTCTCTCAGTCACTGAATTGCCACTTAGACTTCATGTACCATGGTATTCAATGCCACTGAGAACAACCAATATGGAAAACTTATATAATGTACCAGATTATAAAGTGTATGGGCAGAAGTGGGGTTAAATATACTGGAAGCCTTTTGTGAGCTTCTAGAATTGGCTGTACAGTTTTACCCTCTAGTGCCTGGTATGCTGAGGTCTAGATCTGTATGTGACTGTATTCCTTCGGAACCGTGCCTCTCATTGAATAGCATCCACCTGATCTGCAAATGTAATCAGGGTTCTGTATCGAAAGTTGTATACTTTCTTTTGCTTCACGGTCAGAGGTGAAGCTTCAATGGATAAGTGAAGACTAGGGGGAAGGAACGACTGGTCTCACGCTCAAGTCAGATGACATCTGTCTTGAAAAGGGATCCATAAACTTCTATGTGCTACTTTCTACACAGGTTACCTGTATAATTCAGGGAATCACTAGTAGAGAATTACAGATTTTTCTAGGTGCCTAGCATGAAGTCCGCATCTGACTTGCAGAACCACAGAGCACCAAGCTGTACGCCTCCTTCCCAAAACCATGGTTGGACTGTGAGTACAGCCACCGCATAAAAAAGCAGTGTTGGCAGGTAATCGAGGCCCAAGTGGTGAATTGCCTACTAATCTCTGCTACCCTTCTGCCTATGAAAAATTTCAGCCGTAGTATGATTTAATGGATTTTGCTTTCATAAGA